TTACGAGCAAAATTTAAATGGTCGGCTGAAAATATTACCGCTGGAGAGACACGGCAGCGGAATTTAAATGACCGCGCCAAAGGGTTAATCTTAACAATGCAGTAGACTCTGATTATCTGTGAGCAGATTATCCAATTTTCAAAATAAGTGTGGAATACTTAGAACCACTGTAGTGATGTCTTCCCACTGGGACTAAAAAATGGTTCTTCTGTGGAGGAAGATTTTATCTTGTCTATTCAGGAGGATTCACACCAGAGCAGCTAGCAGCAAGCAACAGGCAATAAGAAACGACTGGTATTTGATAGTATGTTACCTGTATATTCACACAGAAATCATAACAGTTAAGAGTCTGTGAACATGTTGTAGAATGGCGTGGTCATTGCATGTTGCAGAAGTATGAAATTGCACCAAAAAAAAAAAAAGAAGTGCCTGTGGGTTTGGTCATTTTACATTATTAATTCAGATCAGCAACAATGTTCCATGATTTTCAGAAACATCCCATTTTGATTAATCTGAATGGAATAGTCATAATAGTCATAATATTGTTGCATCGTAGATAGAAAACAAACTGTAAGTTATAGAAGAATTAATATTGTGACATGGGGCCTGACAGCTAGAATAAGGGATCAGAAAAAACAGCCATTGCTAGGCAGCAGCGTTGTAAACATGCAACAGTACCAGAGCCATGGATAAGCGATGTGCACACAACAATAGAGGAACTGTTGGAAGTGGTGTTTTATTTTCTGTCCATGCTGAGGGTATATAAGGGGACACTGAAACGGCTTTGGAATCCAGCACACCCGTGTGGAGGCGGGGTTGAATACCTCCACCGTGACCTTGCGAGTCATAGGAGGCAACGAAAAGGGAATTCTCAAATGTGAGACAGTAAAATATGGTTGTGAGTACTAAGGGACTCGGACCCGAGAAAGACCGTGCTGGCAAGGGCCAGTGGCATATACAAAATACAGACCTGTCCTCTTGTCAGAGATGGCGCCCCACAGAAACAGAACCATAACTGTGAAACAGTAATAAATATCTGGTCATGAGCTCCAGATGGGGCTCGACACCAAGACTTACTGATTGACTGACCGTCAGTTGCAATGTGACTTTGACTTTCGTAGCCAGTTAGTTCAGCTTGAAAGCCAGTCAAGAATTGACAGCTGAAGTTGGAGGTTGGCAGTTGGAAGTCAATCCAGCCCTGAAGCTAGCAGCTCAAAGAAATACAGGCTAAAGCCAGCAGTCAAAGAGTATGAGTTGGCATATGATCGTCACCCATCAAGAACATGAACCTGGGAGCAGAGCAACCTCCACTGTTGAAAGCCACTACCAGGCAATGTGTCTGAGGACACTAGTCTGTGACTTGAAATTTCAGTCTTGGTTGTTACACTGTTCCTTCGAGACCCTGAAGTGAGAGAAGTCGGTTGCCAGAATGGCTGTCACTATCTGTGCCTCTTGGCCTCCAGCACTTTGTGGTGTAGTCCATGGGATTCAGGAGATGCCATTTCTCTCTTTCGTACTTTCGAAAGCATCCTGTAATATCTGTGGCATTCCTTTTGAGCAGTGCTCCAACATTATGCTCATGCATGGAACTCGAAGTTTAGGCATCACTCCATGCTTAGTCAGGAGCACCATTCTGTAATCTTGTGTATGATTTTGTTGCCACCCATATGTCATCCTGAAGATCTTGCATGGAGTTTTCCAAGTATTGCCTTCACCTTGCTGCAAGAAATAACTATTTGGACTGTTTTGGACCATCTGTGAGCCAACTCTCAGTGGCACTCTAGCATGTTGTCTCTTACCAGTAAGGAATTCCACTGAACCCACTAGATGGTACTGTGTTCCATTTCATGTAGAGTTAGTTCCACATCATCATAATCCAGGTGCCCCCTGCTTAGGGCAGCATGTTCATAGCCATCCACAGTGATGACAATAGCGATAGGTAACTTATACATTCAGGCTACCTGACTCCTTTGACTTCCTGCAGTGATAACATGTCTCTGAGCAAGGTCTTGAGAGAAGGCACCTGCATTGGTGTACTTCTGCCCTTGACTGTGATCAGATGCACAGTCTTACTTATGGAGTCACTGAACACATTGGGCTGTCTGTCCTTCAGGTCAGGGCTAAGTGGTCAGTACATAGGTAAAAGTTAAAGTTATCTCTGGGCTTTAGTTAGTTAAGTACCACTTAATGAAGCTGTATAGGGAAGTGGAAGTATGCATCCACCATTTTTGATGTTAGCCACTAGGTGGAGGTGAGTGGTCAGATCACACTCCTGCTGCTTTCCCACCCAGGAAACAGCCCTTGGTACCCGTTGTATAGGAGAGTGGGTGGACCTCATTGCTGGTCCACACATTATGGAGAAGAGAGAAATCTCTTGTCACTTCTGGGAATCAAATCCTGTATCTTTAGTCATCCAGCCTGAAGCCTAGTCACTATACTGTACTGTACTGACAGAGCACAGATGACATTCTTTTCCATAGAGTTATTTATGGGAGTGTTGCAGTGTCTTCACAGTGGCAAGTATCTCCCTTCTGGTCATGCAGCAATTCCTCTCACCTTTGGAGAGGTACTGCTACATTTATGACAGCATACCTCCGATCCCAACATTGCTTGTAAAAATGCTATTGTAAGACACTTCTGACCACATCGTTTATGTCTTCATTCAGGGTTTAATACCTTGTAACAGTGCTGCTGCTACCTTTCCTCCCAGCTGAGTCATTTTTCACAGTACACTTACTGTTTGCAGTTCTTTATGTTGCAGAAATGAGTGGCAAAGGATTTACATATGGAATTTGTGATGTCATATAATTTTGTGGGTCTGCATGTGTTAAATTTCTTTTATAAATAAGGTCGTTGCATATAATCAAATGCATCTTTATAATGAGTCCTGTTATCTTTATCATTCTTTTAGTTGTAACTTAAATCGTTTTTGCACATTTTAACAGTGGCATTTTTTTTGAAGGGCTTTTGTTTCAATGGGGGGCTTATTTGTGTTGTATGTTTATAAATGGTATTTTGGCTGTGCTCTTTTTGTATACCTGCAAATGTGTCTGTAAATGTCTTTGTATTTTTAAACTGGTGTATAGTTCTGTATATACAGGGTGTTTCACGACTTTAGGGCATAACTGCAGGAAGTGATTTTCTAGGTCTTTGTGATCAAAAAAGTTCATATAAACATGTGTCTGATTTTGAACGGTTACAGAGTTATGACCGTTTTAAACTCAGTATAGAAGGTAATGATTACTGACAATAAATGGAACAAAATAATAAACCAGCATAATACAGGATACATTTAAAGTATGAATGTAAAGTTAACTTCGTGAAATTACCTTTAATTTGAATTTATTTGTGCTTAAAGCCGATTTTCGAAAATGCCACTGCCAGCTGCAACACAGGCTGGCGCTTGGTTGTGAACCGCGCGGGTAGCACGTAGCAGCTTCAGGTGGTTGTTTGTTATATGGTCAGCGGCGTCCAGAATGCGACCGAGCAAAGCATCTCGCGTTGCCACCTTCACATTGTAAACCAGTTCTTTCATCCATCTCCACACATAATAATCCAGTGGGCTTAAGTCTGGAGACCTGGCTAGCAATTCTTCGTGTACTCGTACATGGACTGCGGTGTACCATATGAACAATACCTTCTTCATTAATGCCTTCATTAACACCATGCTCGGCTGCAATACAAACGCCAGGAAGTCTACTGGTATCTCACAATGCCTGGTAAACTCCAGTAAACACTCACTGGTTCGGTATTCTACTGTTTGGAAACCATTGCTGATATTCAGCTACGGCAAGAACTGAGTTACCGTCACAAAACCCGTACACATAAGTCATATCTGCATACTCCTCAAATGAAAATGTAAATGGCATCATGAACGTAACAGACACACCGAGATGAGAAATGTTCTGAACACCAGTAGCCGCCACACTAGCCATGGCCGGACATACCAACCCACCACGCCTTAGGTGCCTCTCAAGTGTCGAGATAACGAGAACACTCTGTCTGTAGCTGGCTAAAAATAGAGAACCGCCAGATGATAGACGCGGTTCATAGGGGGGTGTGTACGGGAATGGAAAAATGGTCATAACTCCGTAACTGTCCAAAATCGGACACATGTTTATATGAACTTTTTTGATCACAAAGACCCAGGAAATCACCTCCTGTAGTTATGCCCTAAAGTCATGAAACACTCTGCATATCAAATTAGAAGATGCAAAAAATAATTACAGTTAATGTGTCTTCATCGCTATTGCTACATATTAGTGCTGCTGGTGCTGGTACAACCGCTAAAACAGATTTGATTATGTCGCATTTGTTTGCTTCCTGCATTTATTCTCAATTTGCCATAACATACCTCATCTGAAACTATGAAATTGTAGTATCTTGCAAGGCTAAATGGTGATAATGAATATATCAGATCATGTATTGCAGTTAGGTTTGCTAAGTTTATTGATATTTCAGTTGAATATGTTTGTTTCTTTTCAGTCAGTAGCTACAGCAATGAGGCATGAGGGTCATCTAGCAGCCACACCTGACCTGTCAGGACAGCAGCGTGTTAACAGAGGTACCAACCCAAGATACAGTAGTGCTAACCAAGTAGGCATCAAGAATTCAAAATAAGTTGTCTTTAATACTGCAACAAAAGATTTCTCTTTTGTGGGAACACTACGTATAGTAATAGTGGTGATAAAAATATTATACTTTTCTAAATGTAGGACTTGATTAAAAATATAATTTTCAGTTTTGGAACATGAGAAAACGCTTTTATTATTCTTTCTTATGGTGAGATAAAACAGTGTGATCAGTTCTTCATTCTCTGAAAGACGTACGGCTGCTGGGACATCTTGGTCGTGTTCAAGCTGAAAATGTTGGAAGATGGCAGCATAAGCATGTAAGTGTTGTGAGTAGTGTGCTAATTGTTATGTTAAGAATTGAACTTCTAAGTAGAGTCTGAAACAAATAAAGACTTCTTAGGACTGTTTGATAGTTTTGACTGTTAAGTAGGGAGAATAAACTAAAAAAATGTAAGTTTGAAATATAAAGTGCTTTGTCATAATTGTGATGGCTAATGAAATGGCTTGAAAAAGTAACAAACTATCATTTCAGTAGTTAGAAAGATTTCCACAACATACCATGAATCATAGTGTTATTTATTGTATGCAGTTGAGCGGATGTTTGTGTGATTCTTCACATGCCAGGTGTGAGAGGTGTGCATAATTTTTTTTATGAAAAATGGATAAGTGAACCATAACTACCCTTACCAGATTTTGTGCCGTCACAAAGGGATTGTGTAAATTAGTTTTGTTCTGATTTAATTTATTGAGTTGTATAAAAACATTGAAGCCTCAAATAATGTATGTTTTTCACCAAGTTGCACAAGTTGCAAAATGTTCAAAATCTATTTTGCTACTTGGAAAAGGTTCTAGGTAAGTTCTGACAAGTGTATTAATTCTTGGGGGGGGGGGGCGCCTTTCATCCCTTTGTATTTAGTAGGTCTGTACCTAACTAGCATAGTGAAGTCAGTCTTAAGTAATATTTTAGAAAATTTGTCTAAATTTGTGGATCCTTCTCCTTACCAAGTTTAATTAAATTCTTTTGCAATATGTGCAGTAAGTGGTAGAAATGCTAAATTTGTGTAGAATTATTTGGAATAAGAAGTGCATTGGAATTATATGCATGTAATGAAGAAATAATAGTCTCTTTGATCCAGAAATTGATTATACGTAATTCTGAAGGATGACATAAAGTACCACTCATACATTTTCCTGTTAAAATATCTGACAGTGAAGTGTTAGTAATACGTGGTATATTTCCAAAACTGTTGTCAACTAGGATATGTTATGTAATAGTTTGCAGGATTTTGCTACAGATTTCCAAAAATGACTTCAAATAGTATTATAATTTGCCAACAGAATTTTGTGAAGTTCATTAAACATCTGTAACATTACCTGTGCTTCTGTTTATAAATTTGTTAACTACGTTCAGCTGTGTCAGTTTTATACAACACTAGAACTGTATTTACCTACTACTATCAAAAGAAGCAAGGAGAGCATGCAACCATCTCTAAATCTAGTTGCAAAATAACCTCATGTGGCATGTGATATGTAACTTGATCATCTCAATGTTAAAAAAGAGAGCTGTAATGTGAAAGATGTGGTAGATACCATTTGATGTAATTTGTGAACTGCAGTGTAATATCTATACAGCAGTAAAATGTATAGACAGTGGCATAGCTTGTTTGGTTAACAAAAAAGCAAGTTACGAAAGTCCACTGACATCTGAGGACAGCACAGCCCCTAAACTTTATTTAGTTTAAAATTAAGAACAGGGAAATTGTGAGAAAATTAATATAATTAACAGAAGGCCATCTCTCATATTTTTTTCATTTGGTAATCAATTTTTATGTAGCTAAGCTGTTTTTTCTTCTTTAAAATCTGGCACCATCATTTCAGAAGTGTGTGCCATTTAAACTCTGGGTTGATTTGATTACCTCGCTTTCAGACTGTTCATATGTGAAGAAACATTGTCTTGTAATTGGTTATATGCAGTAAATTTTTTAGTGAATTCCACATTACATGCAGTAACTTCTGTGCACTCCAAGCATATTTTCATATTGAAGTTTTATAAAGGGAGAAGGCTGAAAATATGTAATAAATCTTTCAAATACATACATGATGTAATAGTTTTGCATGAAACCGGAACATCTTTTTATGAATTTTGGCTGCTATAGAAGTTAGTGGTTTTAGAAACACTTTACTTTTCATCATGTACATTGGTCAGTCTTTTTACTGCTTCATGTCTGTTTTTCATTCATCTGAATTAATTTCTTATGCATATGTCTCTGTAAGAAACCTTGGTCTTGTATGTGAATAAATAACCACACATTACTCTTACAGTGGCAGTATTACAGGTGTCAAATATTTGTATGTCATAATATTAAGATTACCAACTTTTTAGTACATTAATAATTATCATGTAAAACACCTTTGATCTGTGTTTTCTTATCATCTCTTGCTTTATAATATATATAACTTCCTTATTATTGAATGTAATTGTATGAAACTTTCAGAGATCATTTTACACACTTGAGAAGTTTGTTTGGTGCCGTTGGAAATATTGAACTGAGTAATAAGATTGAGTCATTTATGACAGATCAGAAAGTGTGTTATTGAAACCTTTTAGTCCTCTGGCAGTTCTTGTGTTTCTATGGAAAGACAATGTCATCAATAGTCTTGCATTCACTTTGCCCCTTCAAGAGGCATTATCTACCAGAACAGTTTCACGAAACAGGAGATCTGTATGGTAAATGTGCGAAGGGGCATAAATACAGCATTTATCTTTGTATGGAATGAGTCAGTGCAGCATGGGAGGCAATAACAAGAATTCATGAAAAGTATGGAATGTTGAGCATAGCAGATTGGAGTCTCAACCAGCACTACATGCGGACTGTTATGAAGATGTCATTTGCATGAAAGTGAGCTGAACCATCCATTGCTTGAAGATGGAATGGCAAGATGTCATGCTCTTATGTGGGAGTATGGAGTGCTAATGGAGGATGGTCCAATTGTTCAAAATGTAACATGCTTACCTGATGAAGCATACTTCCACTTGGGTAGAAACAGGAACAAGGGTTTAGCAGTTTTTTTATCATATAGTTCTTGATCTAAAGGTTATCACATGGAACATGTTTTAGTGTAGCAAACATATTTCTGAAGTGTGTAGAATAATTATGAAATTTTCGTAAGGTTACATTGAGTAACAAAGAATCTGTACAAATTTTATAAAGTGTCAGATAATAAAAAAATAAAAATACCTTATATATTTTGGATTGGTAAGAACTTGTTAGTAGCATATGTGTGGGCTGCCAACACAACTGTGTATGTAAATGTATTAATTATGTCATATTTCTAGTGTAACTGCTGTTATCCTTGTTATACATTGGCTAGTGTTTACAGGTGTATGAGGGGGGACCCAAAAATAACCGGAAACGACCTGTTGCGCGCGCATGCTTTGTAGTTACGAGTTGTGCTGCTAGGTGGTGTTAGCTGGGGGTCTCCCGCGACTGTTAGTGAGCTGGCGTCAGTCTGAGTTAAGTGGTTTGTCTGTGGTGCTCTGTTGTGTGCGTTCCTNATGACCAAAGAGAAAACCGCGTGAATGTTTGCCGCCACTTGAAGAGTGAAGTGCAGTTTTCCCTAACAGAAAGCAAAATTTCACGCACACTCTTTGTTCCTTCTGGTCGGCCATCTCACTAATCGCCAAAGGGTTGAAACAGGAACACACACAACAGAGCACCACAGACAAACCGCTTAACTCAGACTGACGCCAGCTCACTAACAGTCACGGGAGACCCCCAGCTAACACCACCTAGCAGCACAACTCATAACTACAAAGCATGTGCGCGCAACAGGTCGTTTCCGGTTATTTTTGGGTCCCCCTTCGTATTTTGAAATGATAAGTGCTAATTACTGGTAAGATTGCTGTGGAGTAGTAGTGTACTGCAGATGTTATTGCTGTATTGTCCTAATATGTATAAAGTCAATATGTTAAGGAACATCATGTCTTTTATTCACATTTTTAAGAAATAGGTTTTATCAAATATTCCATGTGTTGACAAAATTGTAACAGCTACGACAATACATCAATAACATCTTCACTGCAGTACTATTCAACAGCAATCTTACCAATAATTTAGCACATGTAATTTCAGGATATGCTAATGTACAACAGTAGTAATTCCAGTTATGCTACAAATAATGTAAAGGTAGTCTAACAATGATGTGATGTCAAAATATGTTGCAGTATGTATAATTAAAACACTTACATACATACATAAATACATACAGGGTGGCAGATGAAATGATACCTGATTGAAAGTTGAAATGAAAACTTAAATATTCATATAATGGTACATACATATCTGTTGTATCCAAAGAACAGTTCATGGAGATTTATCCTGTTTGGATCATGTGGCCAATATAACCACCTTTCTGTCCTGCCGCTTCTAAAATGTGGTTAGCTACGTTTGTGATCACACAGGCACATTTTCTCCATAATTTTGCCTCATATTTTAACAGTCAAAGCCCTGAGTTGCATTTTTGAGGCTGGTCTTTTTGGAAACAGTTTTTCCTTAAGGTAACCCCAGAGGATGAAGTTGCAGGGGTTTATATTCCAGCTATTTGGTGGGCACTTCTGTCCACATTCATAGCAAGCAGAATGTTGCTGGGAAATCACATGGACCAAAAATGTCATGCAGGAAGTCCAAAGCAACATTTGCTATATGTGATGTAGAACTGTCATGCAGCTTACTCAGATAGCATTCACTGTTCAAGTATAACCAGTTCAATTAGTCCTTGGCTGGAGATTGCAACCCGTACTGTAATTTGTGGTGTGATGCATCTTCTCGGTGAATATATGTGGATTTCCTGGAGCCCAGAATTGCACATTTTTCTTGTTCACTGTGCCATCCAAGTGAAAATGTGCCTTGTCTGTAAACCATACATTGTGTAGTCTGACTTTTTCATGCTGTGCGCACACAGCAAACTCCGGTCTCTATTTAAGTTTTGTGGTTTTCATGGCGATGACTATGAAGAAAGTCGTCTTCTGGGATCTGGCGCCGTGTATTCTTTGTTTTAGCTGATGTTTCGGAGGAACGTATCGCCTCCATCTTCAGGGCAGGTGAATTGCGTTGCGATTGCAGAGAGCAGTAGCTGTAATGATTAGGAAGTGAAAAGTGCTACTATATATAGGAAGTAGGCAGGTGGGGTGGTTATGGAGAGGGGACCAATGGGAACAGTGAAGAGCGATTAAGGCCATATATGGTCTGGGGAGCGAGGGGGGGGGGAATGGCCAGTGAATCCAGGCAACTTGGAGGACAACCACAAGCTAATCACCTGGTGTTAGCTACATGAGCCGCATATGCCACCCAGTGGTACCTGCATGAACTACTGCACTTACCCACATGGTAAAACTTATCCATAATGCCATTATTGTTTTATGATCGGAAACAAATATGGTATCATTTTGTGTGTCACTCTGTAGTTTTGTAGATGGCCTGTCCCTTACACTTCTAATAAAAAATGTAACATGTTCCAATACAGCATAAGAGAAACTTACTGTGCTAGTGGTATGATTCTCTGCTTTAGATAATCTTCCAGTGCAGCTTGCTTGTGTGCTTGCTGTAAACATATGCTGTGTTACCTTGCTATATATTTATCATGTCACTGGTAAAGCCACTTTACAGACTCGTGTGAGAATGACTTCTTCAGTTCAAAACAAGATCAGTATGAGAATTTGGAAAGATATCAAGAATCAAGATTTGAATTAATTTTCTCCAATAGGCTAGTTTTTCCAATGCAGTAATTCATAACACTAGCCACCTCGCAGCGCACTGAAGTGTGCTACATATTTACATGAATGGAAGATGATTGTGACTACAGGATAACCCTGCACCAGGAAACATATCTGCACAGAAGAATCTGTGGATCACTTTCATAATCTTACTATAAACATGTTATGCATAAAGCTTATTTAGTTAGTTTCATTCTTGAAGTTTTTAGCCTTTATTAAGATACACCAGTCTCTTTTTGCCATTCTTATTGCCTGACTCAGTTTCAGTATCTTGAAGGTTCCCATCTTGTCTTATATTCACTGTTAGTGCTGTCATGTTCACTGGCAACATTCTGAGCTACTTCCATTCTCTGAACATCACTTCTGGCGAGTCATGTGCATCTTTTCAATACCTCATGTTTGTATGACAGCAGATGTTGCACCAACATTAACATACTTGATGTTGTAATTGGGTATCATATCAAAATATGCTGGAATTTTGTCAGCAGTTTATCAGAGTGTGATGGAAATTTCTTGTAAAGTGAAGACTTTCACTATAAAGAAAACCTGTTCTTCCACATCATTTGTACGCACCACCTTGAGGTCGATTTAAAATTTCATCCAGCCATTGAGTAAAGATCTTGCACAACACTGACATTCCATCTTTGAATTAGTACAAATGACAGTTTTCACGTAGAACTGGCGAGTTGTGTTTTCTGTTTCCACCTTTGGAAGTGTGCCTCAGGAGACACTGTATTGCCTCTTGACAGTTTTTTGTTTTACATGTTCAGTGACCATAGTCTTAAAGTACGAACCATAACTGCAGTGTACAATATTTAACGACACATCACCCCTTTCACACTAATATTTCTTTTCTTGATATGACCTACCATTTTTATATTGAGTGACACATGCATTGGCGTCCGTGGAAAATATTTCTGGCTCACTTTTTTGCACCCCTCACATAGTACAATAGTGTGAGATGCTGTCTATGCTATGAACATTTGAGAAACTTAAAACAGATTAGAGATGTGATATATACAAATTCTTGATGATAACCCATATATTTTTTAACCCTTATGAAGGGGAAGGAAATTCATCTTCAGTTTTGGTAGATATGATACTGATCCCTTTTGACATGGCCCAACATGCAAAGCAAAAGCAGCTACCAGAAAATTCTTATAGTTCAAGACTGAGAAACCAACATTTGAATCAAATTATATTTTTTTCTTGATTTGACCAGATAAATCAAGACTTACACAGACCACAAAGGCTCAATAATATTGATATCTGATGATTGCGGGGGCCATGGCAGATGTGACACTTCATCTTCATGCTCAGAAAACCAGTCCTGCATGATGTGAGCTGTGTAAACACGGGCACTGTCATCTTGGTAAATGGCATCACCACTGGGGAACAAAGTTTGCACCACGGGATGGGCCTGGTCACCCAAAATGGTCACATAGTCGTTGGCAGTGATGTGACCTTGCAGGGTAATGATGGGTCTGACAGTACCATGATATGTCTGCCCATACCATGATCAAACCCCAGCTATGTTTCACTCTTGGCAGCAAACAATCTGGATCATAAGCTTGGGATGGCGTTCTCCAGCCGTAAACTCGGCCAGAAGTCGGAAACAGTGTGAATGTGGACTCATCCGAC